ACAGAGGACGAGATGGTTGGACAGTGTCATCAAAGCTACCAACATGAATTTGACCCAACTCTGGGAGGCAGTGGAAGACAGGAGGGCCTGGCGTGCTCTGGTCCATGGAGTCACGAAGAGTCAGACATGACTTAATGACTAAACAACAAACAACAATGTTTACATTCTAACTAGTATGTGTAATCAGTTAGGAAGCTGCAGCTAAGCAAGACAGCCCACACCTAACAAATATAGCACCCTTACTGCAAATCCTTTTGGGTGTCCTAAAATCATCCATGAACAGGTCTGAGAAGCACTATGCACTTGCTGCAGTTTGGTGGGAGGACATGAAAAACACCAAAGTCTTGGAATGAGCATAGTATTCAGTTCCCTGGGACTCTCAGGTTTCAGCATAAGCGAGCTTCTAATGTAAATGGCTTTGAACAAATGCTTTAAGATATATGAGCAACATGTGTTCTCATCTCTGAAAACAGTACAGTGACTTAATAATCCCATCAGTCTTTGGGAACAAAGTTTTAGATCCATGTATAGGTCTTTGCTCCTTACCATTCCTGACAAAATCAGAACAAATTGTGCAAAATAACACAAAGCATAATATACAAGCAAAATGAAAAAAAATCTATACATTGCATAACTTACACACACTATAGTTTGACTTTTTCTTAGTGAAGAATTTCTAGAAGTAGAATTTTAAATAGTGCAGAGTAAACAGAATGAGATCTGTGAATGCGGTGATCTAGTGCTGATCAGCTGGTCATTGTTAATCCCAGCAAAAGCCAGAGCAAGTTCCAAACACTCACATTTTACTCCACGTGGCTGACTAAATCATCTGCCACACAAATCATTCCAGCATGTAAGTGCTTGGTTTACAGATGACATGTAAAGAAAGTGGTGGAAATGGAAGAAGTTTCCTGGAACTCATTCTTTGATGTGATCTGTTGGTTTTTTTACAAATGCACTTATAATAGATTAAAAACAGGGTGTTCTTGTTTAAATAAATATATACACTGACTTACTTTTCCGATGGCTTCCTAATGCTATCAGGTAGTCATCTCCTGAAGGTGCCTGTAGGTCTGAGCTGGTTATTACAACTGTTTCTGGTCCCATATTGTGAAGCATATCCATTACCTTGACATGAAAGGAAAAAAAAGACAGAAAGACAGACAGAGTATAAGTCATTGAGTACGACTATTTGGCAACAGCATTCTAGTATTTATTCAAGACTAGAATCCAGAAACACAAACAGAACAAAAAATACACAAACAAGTTGTTTCTACTTTTGTTTCCTTTAGCCACCAAATGTTGTTGCTGTTAAGTGTGCAGAGATACTCTACAATTGCTACTTTATTTTAACGTAATTGGTCTGTGTGCCTGTCAGTAAAATCTGGTTGAAGTCTTTGACATACGCTCAGAGATACTGCCTGAATCAAAGCCTCAGGGAATAGCTTACTATGCATCTATGGCACACTGCAGAAAGTCACTTCAAATACAGGAAAATGAAACAGTGACAAAACTTGTATACAGCTTGTATAATAGTGACAAAACTTGTATATATATCTTCTTACACGGAGGCGTTAAATTATGTAATTCTTTTATGTGGGATAGTAGGGTACCAAGAATTTGCTTCAGAGATAAAATGGTGTCAGAAGCTAAGAGTTTTGCTAGCAAATTAAGGGTAGGAGACATCAAATAAAGATTTAATTGCACCTATAAATGTCCATAGTGAAATGCTTTACAACTATTAACCAATACAATTAGCTCAAGAGTGAAATATGTAAAAAGTGTTCATATAAGACGCTCAAGCAATATTACTACTGTGCCATCAGGTAACCACCAGAGGGCAGTTGTTGTTTAGTCGTTAAGTTGTGCCCGACTCTTCGTGACCCCATGGACCACAGCACGCCAGCCGTTCCTGTCTTCCACTGCCTCCCGGAATTTGGTCAAATTCATGTTGGTAGCTTTGACGACACAGTCCAACCATCTCCTCACACAGTAATAATGCAATGACTAAAAATCAATTTTGTCTCTTTTTCCCTCTCAAAGGAGAGATATTTCTCTCTAATGGACAAAACAACCATTTTTAGTGTACAGCTTTCTGCATAACTGTTAGCATGAATATTTATAGTATCAAAAATAATATTCCTCTAGGTTCATTGCAAAGTGCCAAATCATAATTCACTTTTTGCTGAGAAAATATGGCAACAAAGTACCAGTTCATACGTCAAATATCATCATGCTGTGAAGAATATTTGCTAAATTTTTGTTCTTGTTGAATAAAGTTCTCTTGACTCAACAAGAAATTTGGGTTTGAGCACACATACCTCTATAGCTTCTTTTTCAGAGTGTATCTTTCTGCCAGTAAGTAATCTACAAATCAGGAAGGAAAAGTTTTTAGACACAGCCCGTTTTGAATATATTTATTTTTCTCACTGGAACTTTATTATTCACATCCATAATGTCTTTCACTGTATGTTTTACTCAGACACAAAGTCATATGATGCTAAATGTACTAAACAATGGATTGCACCAGATTCCAGACAGCAGGCAAAATGTTGGCATTTATACCTGCCTAGCTCTACAGTGGCATGAATAGTCTGGTCAATTTTAAAAGAGGCAGGGCAAGCATAGAAGCCAGCCATGGACAAGAAAGGAAAGAACAGGGATAAAGAGGAAGAGTAGACATGATATCTCATGGGAGGTTCAGTGGCACCCACAACACATGAGATATGGGCAGGGTGTACATTTCACAGGGGATTTAATTATCAATGGCTTCTAGTCATAATAATTACATATTGCCCTCTGTTCTGGAGGTAATATGCCTTTCAGTATCAATTGCTGGAGAGCTGTTGACCTCAAATTCTGTCCATGGGCTTCCCATAAATCATTCAGTTGACCTCGTGGAAACAGAATGATCAGCAAGACAGGCCATTTGTTTGACTCAGTAAAGCCCTTCTTAGGTGCTTAAACAGTCTGAAACAAAGGATCAACATCTCTATTTGACTTAAAGTCTAATTTTCATGAAATTACAGTCTAAAAAATAACCTTGCTGCTAAACTAGCCATTCTGAGGGCAGAAAATATTCTCAGATACATAACTGCAGCTAAGAACATAAAACAAGCTGCTTTTCATTATACAGATGTTCTGATGTAACTTTATGGATCCGTGGGGGTTTGGATGGAACATGCAGCTCACAAATCCCCTCAGCTAACATGCTCTCTGCTACAAAATCAAACCAGGAACAACTTCTGTGACTTTTAAAAGGATGCAGTTATAATATTGTACCGTATTTATTAATATTTAAATGTTAAAGTATTCAGAAGATCAATTTACCCTGTTGAAGAGGGGGGGGGAACTGCCTCTAAATCTTATTAATGAGGATTTCTGGAAAAGTACTTACTCAGCTTCAAATTGATTTGGCGTTATTATATCTGCTACAGGGACAACTTTGTTCTTATAAACTGGAAGGAGATCTTCTGGAACATACTGTAAACAACCAGAAAAATGGCACTTGCTTTAGAAAGCTTAGGCAGGTACTTGGTTATTCACAAGGCTAGTTCATTCCCTACAGTTCTAAACTTTCAAATACTCATACAACCCCATATATGGGTGTGTGTGTGTGTCCCCTATTGAATTCAATCTGGAAATTCATAAACAAACCAGAAGGGAAAGCTCCACACTTACTGCATTTGGAGAGACCACACATACTGTCACTCCTCAATAAGGTAGTGTGACTGTCCCAATGTTCATGTCTAGGTCTATGTCTATGATCTTAGTTGACAGATCAACAGATATATTTGCCTTCTTCACTTTTCATGCATTCACGCGTGGGCTGGACCGTGGCAACACATTCCCTAAGATACATCCCATGGTCCAATCAGGTTTTCTTATTCCTCTGCTGAGTGCAAAATAAGTTATGATAGCAGGGAGAAAATCACCCTGGCCTGTTAATAAGCTACTTCCTCAATATATTTAGGAAGCTGTGCTTAAACCAATCCTCCACGCAAACTGGAATTTAATTTCTTATATTAAACCGGCATCATCCCTAGTGGTGTTTGGAAGAAATGGGACATGCCTATAGTTTGCCTGGAAATCTGGATGTGATTTTTCAGAGTGGAGCATGGAAGGATTATTTCTCTTTGCAGTCTTCTAGTAGTTTCTAATAAAGACTCCACAATTGAGTCTCTATTGCAATTCAAAGAAATACTACATTAAAGTAAAATTTATCTAAATTTGTATTTGTTTAAAGTAAAATTTGGGAAATTTATGCTAGCTTTGATGTAACAACATAGTTTATAAAAATGGGACAAGCATGTAATGGATTACCAACCATATGGCCTTCCCCACTCCATTTGTCCCCCATCACAGGATCACACACTGCAAGAGAAAATTAAAAGCAATTGTAAAACAGGGGAAACAGTGCCATAGAAAAACACTTTAAGCATTAATAACTGACTAGTTATAAGCTGCTACTCCCCTATACTAGGAAGGTTATCTCTGTAAGTAGTGGTGCCATATAAAGATAGAAGCATCACTTTTGTTTTTAGATGGTTACCTACATGGAAGAAGAAAGCAAAATTACAGGCTGCGCATCTTCCTTGTAACATCACAGGAACAGATCTTGAAGTCATACCAGCCAAATGGGCTTCAGCAACCTGAACAGATCCCCAAAACCTTGCTTAAAGTGGTGGTGGTGGTGGTGGTTTGTCTTCTGGAAATCTTCAAAACTGCTACATTGATTTGAACCAACAACACATCCTTCAAATACTCAAGGACAGCAGAAAATATTTATCTATCAAATACAACAAGATCTTCAGCAGGCTTACAATTCATGTGCTCCTTGGTCCCCCCTACACTCATTTGGCTTTCTCACACCAGAACAGTTAAGCCAATTCAGTGAGAGACTGACTCTCATATCCCAGCAAAACATGAAATCAGCTTCTTGTTGTTAAACAAAAGGCCTTGGGCTCCTTCATTATCATTAGAGCTTTAACAGATTTTTCTGAAGTCCCAGCCATCGCTATTAATATCTTTACTCCAAGGATATTAATGAGCTGTCTTTTATGTACTATCCATATATGACTTCCTTGAGCCTTCCGGGCGGGGGGGTATTATAAAAAGCAGGGAGATTTCAAGTTCTGAGACTATTTTGAGGAAATCTGCCATTCTCTATTTTTCAGTTTAGTGAATCAGAATCTACCTTTCGGTGATACGTGTCAGGTACTTTTGATCCACAAGAGGAGCAGGCAAGACTGGCTCACACCAACTTCTTATCAGCAACGTCCCCTCTAAATAGTCTCAAAATGTGGGGAACTCACCCAAACTATATAATGCAACACGAATAATTTGAACTTTAGAACTGAAATTCAGTTCTGAAAAGCCTTCCTGTCACAAACCCTAAACCTTGACACAGTTGCACTCTGACATTATCACAACTCACAGAGATCTTTTCATAAAGACAAAACATAGTTATGTACATAGCATATCTGTATCTGGATGCTGAGTCGTGGCAACTGGACTTCTTTCTTGTTAGGCTGAATGTTTCACTAATCACCCACATAGCTTCTTCAGGAGAGTTGGTAGGAGACCTCTGATATATCCTCTACACTGGTTTCACTTCTCCCTGGTCTGATTAGAGACTGAAGAAGCTCCTTGGATGAGAAGCGAAATGTTTCAACCTAACACGAAAGATGTCCAGTTGTCACGACTGAACTTGCAGATAACCACACCTGGACAACTGACAATCTTCACAGAATATATAGCGTATCTGTAGTGTAACAATGTATATAATATGTAAACAATTTATGGAATAATTTTTGTTTGTGGAAATATTTCTCTGACCCATAATACAAAAGTTTGAGGCTTTGTTTGAGGCCGCCTAGAGTGGTCCATCGGTCCAGATAGGCGGGGTATAAATCAAATAAATAAATAAATAAATAAATACATAAATAAATAGAAGCCTGTAACTGCTTGATACACTTCTCAAAGTGTAGAGAGACTATTCGTTTTTAGTATACAGTCGTGCCCCGCTTAACGATTGCCTTGCTTAACAAGGAAATCACTTTACGATGAGGTTTTTGCGATCGCAATTCCTGCTTTGGGAACTGATTTTCGCTTTACAACGATCAGCAAACAGCTGATCGTTGGGTTTCAAAATGGCCACCGGCTGAAGAAAATGGCCCCCGGCTGTTTTCTAGGACGGATTCCTCGCTTTACAGGCACCGAAAATGGCCGCCGTATGGAGGATCTTCACTGGACGAGCAGGTATTCAGCCCACTGGAACACATTAACCGGGTTTTAATGCATTTCAATGGGTTTTTTAATTTAATTGATGATGGTTTTGCTCTACAGCGATTTTGCTGGAACGAATTAACGTCGTCAAGCGAGGCACCACTGTACATACATAAGGTCTGAGATATATTCACTTTAATTAAGCTGGAAACATTGGGTCTTGATTGGGTGGAAGTTCCAAAAGGAAAGATAAGTTAAATGCAGATGTAGATAAAGTGCAACCTTCCAGATATCTCAGGACTGCAGTTGTTATGCTGGCTAGAGTTGATGACAGTTGTAGTCCATCAAACTTCATCAGGACCTTTGCACACTCCCTGTTTAGACAAAAGCTAACAGTTGCTGGGGGGGGGGAACCCCTTGGGCTAGTATTCTTTGATTGCACAATGTCAGCAACAGACTGCCACTAACTTTGGAACCTGCTTGTCCAATTCTAATAGATATGTTTCTTTCTCTTCAGCCAGAAAGACATGGCCAGGATTCCTGGACAGGTGAAGGCTAACCACATGTCTGTTGGACCTTTGCTGTTCTTTGATTATAAAAGCAGCAAGAGGGGGAATGGGTAGCGGAATGATGAATGTCTCCCTGCAGGATGATATGATCCCAGCATATTTAAAGGAGGCAGTAATAAGACCATAACTGAAGAAGTGCTAATTGAATCCCATTTTACTGGACAACTGTTGCTAGTCTCAAATATTTCATTTCTGTCAAGGTACTGAAGTGTGTGGTGCTTTCTCACCTTCAAGGATTCCTGCTATGGCAGTGGTCCCCAATCTTTTCCGAATTGTTGGGGGGGGCTGGTCCGTGTGTGGGAGGCGCGGCACCCCTCATTGACGGGACGGCATGGCGCGCTCACGGGTGGGTGTGGTGTGCTCGTGCGCATGCATGGATGGGAGTGGCACACAGGGTGGATTTCAATACAATTGACAATGGAATCCTTCTGGGCTGTCTCACTTGGATGGAATTTGGAGGCACTGTTTTATAGTGGCTCTGATCCTTCCTGGAGGAGAAATACTGATGCCAGGAGACTTGTGTTTGATGCTCTGCTGGTTGGCCTGTGGTTTCCCTCAGGGTTCTGTTTTATCCCCCATGTTATTTAACATTATAAATGAAAACACTGGGTGAAGCAGTTTCAAGTTTGGGGGTTCAGTGTCACCAGTATGTAACTCTATCTCTCTTTCCCATCTAATTCTAAGGCTGCTGTCCCAGTTCTAAACGAGTGCCTGGTATCAGTAATGGGTTGCATGAGGGCAGACTAACTGATGCTTAATCTAGACAACAGCATATAACATTTGTACAGTGGTGCCTCGTGTAACGAGTGCCCCGTTTAACGACGAATTCGCATAGCGATGGCATTTTTGCCATCGCTTTTGCAATCGCATACCGATGTTGCCTATGGGGAAAAATCGCTTTG